TAGGTGTTGTCAGGCATGGCTTCGAGAAGGCCGTACGCAAAGAGCAAGGGGCACTGGACGCCGCCGTAGAACAACAGACCGTGAAGATCGCCGCCTAAGATTATTGGCCTTAAGGGACCGTTTCTCCACTACCAGGTCCATTGCAAATGAATGGTTTGCAGAACACGGAAGACCTATTGGCATGCGAAGTGTTTACCGAGGAATGAGAAGTTTTGGCTTGTTTTCATACCGGCCACACTGGGTCCTCCCTTTAACTCGAGAACACCGACGTAATCGCCTTGAGTGGTGCAGACAACGGTCACTCTGGGATCAGGAATGGAACAGTATTGTCTTCAGTGACGAGTCTCGATTTTGTTTAGGCATGCACGATGGTCGTGCCAGGGTTAGAAGGTGACGTGGTGAAAGGAGGAATCCACAGTTTTTTGTTGAAAGACATGTTCATCACACTGTTGGAGTTATGGTTTGGGGTGCTATAGCTTATGGTTCCAGGTCACCTTTAATCTTCATCAGAGGTAACATGAACGCGCAGCGTTATATACACGAAGTTCTAGAACCCCATGTTTTACCCTATCTTGACACCCTGGCAGATCCAACTTTCCAACAAGATAATGCCCGATCACATGTTGCAAGAGTCACAATAGACTTCTTTCAACATAATGATGTCACATTGTTACCATGGCCACCAAGATTTCCCGACTTATCCCCAATTGAGCACGTGTGGGATATGATGGGTAGGAGATTGGTCAATTTGCAACGTCCTCCTCAGACTCTAGAAGCACTTCGAGAGGAGTTGGTGGTTGCCTGGAATGAGATACAACAGGAGGACATTGACCACCTGATCAGAAGCATGCCTAGGCGCGTTGGAGAATGCGTAACACATCAGGGTGCATCCACACATTATTAAATGACAAAGGGCTTTAAAGCAGTGCAATCATTTTGAAATTTTTATCATTTACTTATTATGCTTCATTAAGTACTTATACAAAATTTTATTAAAATAGAACCATTTAAACTGGGTGTTCGGATTTATATGTCACTTAGTATAGTAGTGACGTTTTAAGCATATGGTGATCGGATCCACACCCTGCTCGTCGATGGACTCCAACTTGATTAACCTTTATTTTCTAATTTTCCTTGCATATACAGTACTCGATTATTGATTTCAATTTTCTGGTTGCTTGGGTCTACCTGGATCTATGGATATTCTTGTGCTGAAAGTATCCATTAAGTTCCGAATGGCCGCGATATCTTCCTTATTTCAGTCTAGTTCGACCGTACTATAAACACGAGATAGCACAGCTCTGCTATCTACGCCTTCCATAACGCGACCTAAGTATAGGCAAACATAATTTTCTCGAGAAATGACGAAAGCAAGAAGCGTAGGAAGACGGCAAAAACTTTTCCGGGGTTTTATAAATTGGGAATAAATAAAATATTGTTCGAAATATACACGACACGACAGCTTTCGTTGGGAAATCTTGTTAGCGAGTGCCGTGACGGGGTCCGACATAGCTTTAATATTTGAGGGAATGGCGTGTGGTGGAAGTTGATAGGAATATCATGGAATATGTCTATATAGATTGATGTTGGCTGAAGCGATATGGGACCATCTAGACGGGTATTCAATGCCCAACTCCATGAATTGTGGAACAAGCTAAAATGGGTCAAATGAATCGGCACAGCTGGACGATTAAATGCATCTAATACCACTAAATATGAATTTTCCTAGATAACCGATTCAATTTTCTAGCAACTTCAGCCGAACTTTCCAACGTTTAATATAGTAAGGTGGTTTTTTCACAAATATCCATTTCGATAGAATTATCTACGAGCCCCTTCCCACTTCAGTTGGTCCAACTATTGAAATCTTAGTTTTTTTCTTATCAAACACAAATAATAAAAATGTAGCAGGGTGTTCTGGTTTAAAATATTAACAATGAATATTTTGATAATATATAGTAGAAAACACCAACTTTATCACTCCCTAATCAAATTTGCAGCATAAAAATAACACATGTTGCAATTACAGCATATCAAACAATTTTCATTTCAATGAATTGTTTTATTAATCACAGCTGTCAGAATACGTTTAAACTAGTTTTGGGTAATTAAGGTTTTCAAAATGGGTAGAGGGCAGGTTATTAGTGAGAAAATTCTGTTACTGATAATGAAATTTTTTTATTCTGGGAAATCAAACTCAGAAATTGCAACTTTGTTAGACTTATCGCGGTACAGTGTGAGAAATATTGTTAGAAGATATAACGTAACTGGTTCAGCTAATATTAAGCCACGATATGTGAAAAAAAGTAATATCACAAATGCCGACCGAAGAGCATTAACAAGAATAATCGTGATAAACAGCAGTCCAGATCTGTCACCTATTGAAACTTTGTGGCACGAGATGAAAAACGTTCTACGACAACATCCTGCTCGTACAATCACCGAACTGAGACAAAAGCTTCAAGAAATATGGGATTGTTTTACACCAAATTTTTGCCAAAACTTGGTTAACACTATATCCCAAAGAATTTCAGCCGTAATAAAAATAGAGGTGATGTTACCCAATGGTTATCTTTCAATTGTTGCTTTGTTAACTTCGCGCATTTATTCGCAAATTGTTTATTTGTTCAGATGTTCTATTAGTTATAGGCCTAAGTGATTTCAAATTATGTATTTTTTACGACTAGAGTGTATTTAAAATGTTTTTGAGAAAATAAATTGTTTTAGAAGTAAATAGTTTCATCATGTTTACTTTATAAGGGCATATTTTGGTACAAATCTTGAAGTGGGCCAACTGAAGTGGGAAGGGGCTCGTAGTAGTTTTGCAAAGTTCCCCAAATCTACAAATGAGACCATTCTGACAGATATGTCAACGCCAGTTAGGCAGAGTTATATTTTGTTTTGGTCTTGGTTCATTTGGATGCAAAAGAACCCTACAAAGCAACTTTTACTAGATTTACACCCGATTCGCTAATGCCAACTTAACAGACTAATACAAAGGTGTCACTTTTTGATCAGCTGTTCACTTCAGTAGGCGTCGAAGCGTGGCGGTTACTTACCCGTTAATTTTGTGTTTCGCTTTGAAGAAGCTACGTAGATAACAGCAAAAATTGTGTAATATAATGTGAGTAAATTACCTTATGTTTACAATCATGGTAAAATATGGCATACTGTTCTTCCTTGCCACGTATGCAACTTTTATGGATTGTATACGCAAATACAATTGTTGTGGATACATTCTAGCGGTAAAACATTGTAGAACTGCTTCCCAGAACAGACATATACAGATTTTCTATGGGAAAATCCTAAAATTTGAGCAAGAGTAATTTTTTTTGTGGAATCGGTCAAATTGCCGTCACGATAAAGCTGGAGGATTTGACGCCATTTTGATGAGGCCGTATGATCAAAAATTCAGAAAATTGTCGATCCATTGTAAAAAAGTCATTGACCTAATTTTGGGGAAAATTAAATTCTTAATCGTTCTGCTTCTATAAAAATAATTTGTCGTATAGTCAACAGGTTACAAGAAATCAAAGGGTAGATATAAATGAGTTGACGCCTCTGGTCATAGGAGCCGTGGTGCTCTGGTTTTTAGGCGCGGCTGCTTCCATATAAATATATGTCACAGGGCAATTAAATCTACTCTTTACCAAAACATTTTCCTTTCATTTCAAATTCTTGTTTTTGTATTATGACCTCATGAAGCTCCTATATTGGAAATTGAATAAGTAGAAAGGTGAAGTGTGGATTAACAAAATATGACGATTTTTCCGATCGCGTAAAATTTTGCAACATTTTGCATCAAATTGCAATACCATATTCTGGATAATATAGTATGCATATTAAAACGCTAAAAATATAAATCCGCGTATACAAAATTTCATCAGACATCCGCTTGTGTTATGCAAAATTTTAAATACACAGTCCGAACAGAGATTTGAAATGCACATAGCACGTGGCAAAATCAGTCGCATTGCTGTCTCTACGCGGATAATTTATTTCTGTTGTGAAGTTGGTAAAACTAACATTTACTAGTGAGGGTTTCATCCACATACTATACATGCGTTTTGCTCCTAAATAAAATAAGACTAGAAAAAAAACGGCATCAAGTAGATTGACTCTTTACTTCTCACGCCTTCGACAATGTTTGGTACAATTTTCCATATAGGCTCTGGTGTAAAGCTGTTTGTTAACAAGGTATCTGAAGAATAATAATAAAAGCAATAATAATAAATTTGCAGAAGACAATAAATTGGTCTGAAACAAAACAAATAGACCTAGAGTACGCAGGTATGTACCCATACGAATATATTCATAAGCAATATTTGGGACCTCGGTTGGCCGCGTGGGTCAGAGTGTCGTGCTACTGATCAGCCGGTCGGCCGGGCCGCGAGTTCGAATCTCGCGTTGGCCATGGATGTTGTGACGTCGTGTGTTTGTCCATAATTAGAAATGTAAAATATAACAACCTAGTTTCTGGCTGCATGGATTAGGTCCTGAAGCCAAAAAAAAAAAAGTAAGCAATATCATAAAGGCATATAATTTTTCTGAAAAAAATCTAAAAAACACGTTGCTAAGTAATATTTTATCAGGAAGCTTGGGTGGCAACATAAATATGAGACGAACACGATAATTTTTGCACCTGCAAGGATGTTTCTTGTTAACCCTTAAATTGGCAAAGCCATGTTTTGCAATTTTTCTGATAACAGTGGATGTTGATATATTTATTGGCATCCCAATAAGTGATTATAAGAGAAAAATTGTGATTTTTATGGAATTTTGAGCAGATATAGGATGTATCCGGTAAGATACATCACCAATTTGAGTGAAGTTGTTTGCTACAATGTAATGTATGCTAAGAGATACACTGCCAATTGTTAAGTTATATAAAAGGATACAAGAAAATTATGTAAAATAATTTATTGATTGTTTATAATGGACAACATTTGCATGAAATAAGAAACCGACAACCTCTAAGCACAAATAAACGAAAACATCTTTCATAATTGAACAAAAAATCCAAAGTTGACGTTCACTGGAACCTGTCGACTACTCTGATGGAATGTATAAAAGCAGTTCCGATCTTTCACTAAACATAGTCTTGTGCCACACTTGGTACACGCCCAATGAGTTTCTCCCTTTTTGCATAATCGACATCTACCTTTGCTTATATACTGCGAGAAGTGATCGACTCTGTCATGTCTTACATCTATTGGTGGTCTAACTACAACTGCTTGTTTGATCCTTTGTTTTATATCTACATTCTCGTTCACTCTCGAGTCAGTTGATCTTCCTTTCATTCTCAATGATTTCGAGACATAGTATCTGAATTCTTTCAGACTGATGTTTTCCACGTTGCCCCCTGATTCTGCACACGTCAGCTTAGTTTCTCGACGGTAAAGAAGCCAAGCATTATTCATGCATAAATCTATCATTTGAGCAAAAATAGATAAATACCACCGACGAGTTCTGTAAAGTGAAACTAACATATCCATAAGGTCAACTCCACCTATGTGGCGGTTATACTGTTTTACTATACTCGGACATGGTATATCAGTTTTATCTTTTTTGTGTTTCGTATACCGTGTAGCAGTAGCTACTGGCTCTACTGAAACATAAGAGCTCACAAGAATGACTGCCTTATTGTCAAACCATTTAACGCAACTGATTTTGTTGACGTTATCATTTTTGAAGCAAAATGACCCTCGACCTCTTTTCGCCAAGGCTTTGTCGTTTTCTAATGAACAGATCCCCAGCCGATTGGATCTTATTGTGCCGAGAGATAAAATTCCGTAGTTTTGTTTCAGTATGTGCACCAATTCCAAAGACGTAAAGAAGTTGTCAAAATACACAGCCGAGCAGATAGGGGCTTTCATAGATTTGCATAGACTAAGAATAACTTTCGCTCCTAATCCTAAAGTATTCTCTTCGCTGGTAAACTGGTGATATTCTCTGAATGTCTTTTCTCCTCCATAGATGAGAAAATCATAGACCAATCCAGATACACCTGCTCCCACAAAGATTTTGAAGCCCCACTTTTTGGGCTTAGATTTTATATATTGCCGCTTTGACCCGGCCTTCTTCCCTTTATATGGTACCATCATTTCATCAATACTCTGTTTTTTCTCTTCTTCTACACTCATACAATTTCTTCTCACTATTTCTAAAGCTGGCCTAATTTTGAAGTAAGGATCGTCGTTCTGATTTGCGTTGTTAACAAAGTGAATGTGTCTTCTTATCTGTTGATAACGTTTTAGCGACATGATTTCCGCGATATCATTATATCTAAATTTTTGACTCCAATAATCAGTATAAGCTGGCATTTCGACTATTCCCATCAGGATTTGAATAGCGAAAAAATCTTTCATTTCCTCGAGGGTGACACATATTCATTTGTCGGTTTGTTGAACTGAGTATAAATTAGTGTTGTCAACGAGCATTTGTAATAAATCATCTGAGAAGAACATCTGAAAGTATTCGTATGGCGTTTTCACTCTATCAGGCGTGGTAAAATTGTCTTCTGGAATATCTACTGGAAAAGCAAACTGTTCATTTGTCCAGCTACATTCAAGTTTTTTCTTTTTCACCTTACTCCTTTTCCTACTGACTTCGTGTTTTATCAGCTTGTCTCTAACAGCATGACTCACATTTTTTCTTTTTTTGCCCGTTTTAGAATGTGATCTGGTTTTTAGTGGTGTAATCGCAAATGAAGTTCTTGGAGTCGAAAATGCACAGAGACTTACTTTTTCTGGTGTATTCTGAACAACTGGGGTTGCTTCATCTGGAGAAGCGTCATTGGTGTTTGACAAATCATTCATTATATCCTCCATTACTGCAACTGCTTCATCAGGAATCGATGGAGCCTCGGAAGACTCACTATTTGAGTCCCTTATCATATCAAACAGCTTTCCAGGAAATTCTTCATCTTCACTTGTATCACTCAGATCAGAAGATGCAGGTGGTAGAAGGGCAATTATCTTGTCCTTCCGTGTTAGTGCCATAATAGAATAGTTTCTTCTGGAAAATAAACATAATCACTAGTATCTGAGCCAGAAATAAAGACATATTTTATTAATTTGAACATATGTTTAGGTTAAGTGTGTGTATAATATGATGCACACCTAGGATACTTCAATTTACGATAAGTTGGCAACGTATACTATGCGACACACAACAAACTATCAATTGCTTAAAGAGAACTTGGCACTGTAGATCATTAGATACACAACAAATAACTATCCCTTTTTTGAGGAGCTGGCAACGTAGACTACGAGATACAGTAAAATTAGATCAGCAACTCTGACCAAGTGGCTCATCATTATCATCTAAATCTAATTCTATAAGATGCACCTAACATCCATGTCCTCAAAGTTACAAATTCTTTGTGAATATTTGTTTTACTTTACTAGAAAATTATGAGTACTTACCGATAATTCACGCCACTCAATGCTGTCCGCTGACAAGTTTCGGCCATTACATTATAAATCCACAAAATAAATGCCAGATGGCGCCAGAAGTACCAACTCAAGTGACTGAATGCCTAATGAAGATATTTTCGGCAAAAAAGATTTGATATGTTGACTCGCATCGTTAACAGGGATATTTGAATATGTAGTATCGTATAAGATACAATACCAAATTAAGGGTTAAAAAAATAATATTTTTCATTGTGTTTTTTTTTTCGATTTTTGTCACAGGAATGGTATTTGACAAGACTACTTCATGAGTAACAGTGCATACACGTAGCTTACACAATTTATTGACAATGAAATTGTTTAGCGTCGTTTTGTGGTGACCAAGGAGGCCACAAAAGCTGCTGACAGGTGCTCTCATACAATTTTTCCATCTAGAAACCATTTGTATTTCAAAATTGTACGTTTGTGATTGGTAGAAATTAAGACGATCGAAATATTCACATAAATTTCTCTTCTAAATGGTACATGGATATATTTTGATATATTCTTAAAACAAATATCATCGAATAAATGACTATATAACACAATTTGATGAATTTTCGATATAATATATATCCATTGCTTAAATAAACTGAATTAACCTAAAATCTTTTAAATTTCTACCGTTCAAGAAGCAGGAGGTAAGTTATTGTCGAGAAAATCTAAATATACATTTATTTATTATTTCATTAATATCTATATACGATTGTACTTATATCCACAGTTTTATATGTTTTTGTATGTATTGCAACTGATGTGGTTGTCTACATTCATGAGGCAGAATATTATATACTCGTGGGCCTATATATTCAAATGGTCTTTGCCCAATTTGCTTAGTCTGGACTGATAGTGCTTTATACCTTGCCGCATGGTTAGGTTTACTCCTCCGGAGAGTATGCTTGTATTTATAAATAAATAAATAGCCGTTTCATACAACACCATACAAAACCACAAAAATGCTGATACACTTTTTTGATATGGGTAAATATTGACATCATAGATAATTTTCAAAATATAAGGTATTTTTGTACAACTGAAGTGTTTTTAATGCCATATGCAGTACCCCCCCCCCCCCAATCCAACAATGCCGGAACTTAATAGTGAATCGACTAATATATTGAAATCACTTGTTATGTAGATGAAGAAACTCTAAAGAACTTGAATCTCGGTATTGGCCGCCCACGAATAAACAGGACACCAAGGGCTTCATATTCCTGGTTCCATGAGAATGTGGAAAAGATTATAGCGAGAAGACGAAGAGACGACTGACTGTGAGGATGAAGAAGCATCGACTTGTTACCCAACGAAATAACCTGGAAGACACCAAGGTCATCCATTAAGGCGCACCGGTATTGCCGAAAATTCAAAACTCAGTTTACGTATCCAGCAAGAGCAGCGTGTCTACAAATTTTAAACAACAGACCCACAAAAGCATTCCGAAAGACGCTTTTGATGTCTTCGGGACGATGGACGAGGGCGACGTATGCTGTACATTAAAAACGATAGGCCCGCTTGTGCTGCCATCTTAAAATTCGAAATTATTACTACTACTAATAATAATAATAATAAATGCCTTTATTTCCAAACAGTTTTCAAAAAAAAAAATCAGAAATAGAAACATGAGTATTAACCAAAAAAAAAAGGAAAATATAAAAAAATAAATAAAACAAATGTCGACTGTCTGAAAACCACAAGAGGGAGTTCACTATCTAGTGCTCTTCCACTCATCCCTTGGAATTATAAGAAACATTATGCCAGTAAATACATCCATCAATCATATAAAAACATCAATATGAACAGCATGTAAATTTTAAAAAAAAAATAAGATAGAAAAGTGAGACATGTGGTAATAAATTTAAAAAAAAAGAAAGTCTAGAATAATATATATATACATACCGCATAAACAAACGCCAATATGAGCGACAATTAAGTTTGAAAAAAAGAGCAAAGAGAAAACGTGGTGGTAAATGTAAAAGTCTAAGCTAAGTAAAATAATGGAATGCAAACAAAATAAAATTGAAATTCCGCAGTAAGAATAATTCTACTTTATACATTCAAGGTAAGAATCACGCAAAACCGCTTTGAACTTATGAATTTCATATGATTTGAGGTACTGGGGGATAGGATTGTATAGCTTATATATATTATACGTAAATGATCTTTCATAAAATTTAGTTCTGTGGAATGGATGTCTTTTCTGAATGCTATTTTCTCGTAGAGGTAATGAGGCTGCCTGAGAGTTAAAATTTTATGATAAAAGCATATTGTGAATATCTCAAAACGAGCCTTCATATTTAGCCACCGGAGTTCTTTCAGCTTATGACTAACTCTTTAAAATTTTCTTATGCTATATATAAAACATATGCATGAGTTCTGTGTTCTCTGTATTCGCATGAATGTATCACAATCTAAACATGCAGAATAAATTGGAACACAGTACGAAAACTGTGATAAAACCAAGGTTTCGCAAAGAATTCTTTTGATGTCTAAATTGAGAAAATTACGGTGAGGATATAATAATTTTAGAGCCAGATAAGATTTTTTGATACAGTTTGATATGTGCTCACGAAACCTCAGATTATAATTCATTGTTAAGCCTAAGTTTTTAACTTTATCACAGTATTTTAATCTAATATTATTTATGGTTATATTTAAATTCTCAATCACATAAGAACGGTCTTTACCAAAGATCACAGCAGCTGATTTATTTGGATTTAATATTAATGAATGCTCTTGCAATCTTTTAGAGAGGTTAGTCAAGCCACTGTTTATTTTCAACTCGGCGGCTGGCCAATCTGAACTAGGAAAATAATAGTACAGCTGGGTATCATCCGCATAAACGTGTGACTTACAGAATTCCAAACATTTAAGGATCTGACTAGTATATATAGTGAAGAGCAATGGTCCAAGTATAGATCCTTGCGGTACACCTGTGGTAGTGGGCTTTGAACTAGATATTTCATTCTTCAGTTGTACACACTGTGATCTGCCACTTAAGTATGAATTAAAAAGTTTTATGCTGTCAGTAGACAATCCACATGACTTTAAGATAGAGAGCAAGACATCATGGTTAATTGTGTCAAATGCTTTGCTGAAATCTAATACTATTAAAGCGGTAGACTCACCCAGATCATTCGACTTCAGTCGAATGATCTGGGTGAGGCTCTATTCATGATATCATCAGTTATTTTAGCAAGTGCAGTGGTGCAACAGTATCCTGGACGAAAACCTGACTGTGTTTTAGGAAGGATACTTTGACTTTCAATGTGTGTTCTTAATTGTATTTCAATCATTTTTTCAACCAATTTCGAGAGACCAGCTAGAATACTTATTGGACGAAGATCTGATAGCTGTTCAGCTTCCTTACATTTTGGAATTGGCACTATTAAGGCCACTTTCCAGCACTTTGGATATTTTCCCTCAAGAAAAATTTTATTAATAAGATGTACCAAATATGGTAAAATATACGGGACACACAATTTGACGAAGATGTATGCTAATGCCATCATTTCCTGGTCTGGTGTTTTGTTATCCTACTTAATTCGTCAAATACATCTTGCTCAGATACCAATTTGAAATTGAACTCTAAATTATATATTTTGTTTTGATCATAATATATAGCAATATGATTACCAGACGCCACACGAGGTATGCTGTCAATAAAAAATTTATTTATATGTTCCACATCTTGCAAATCAATAGGAATATTTGACTTAACACTAAGCGAATTAAGTTCTCGCCACAAAGATTTCTTATCCTTACTCTGAGCAATTTCATCAAAATACTTTCTTTTTTCATGTTCATGATTGGTTTTGTTTTTTAGTTTTTTATATGCATTCCAATTTGAATAGTTCGGATTTTTTCTATAC